GATGCCGAGAAGGCACATCTGTTGGCAATCGAGAAGCAGCGCCAGCAAGACGAGGCAGGAGCAAAGGCTGCCGATGAAGAACGAAATCAACGACGAAGAAGATATTCAACGGAGAGGGAGCTTTGCTCACAATGGCAGCGTACTGGCGAGCCGAGGCCGAGAATGGTGAGATGGAAGAGAGTGAAAGCGAGATCGAGAGTGAAAGCGAGATCACTCTACTCCTCTCCCATTTTACGGATCTCCTGGCAAGATGCATTGCACAGCAGGAGGACATCCACAGCCTCGACGACGCGGTTCAAACGCACAAACGGGCGTTTGATCAAGTCAACAGCCGCCTCCAGCAGCTGCAGCAAAGACCCGTCACCGCCCCCGATGCCAGCTCCTCCAACACCTTCGATCGCCTCAATGCATTGGAGATCGACGTCGGAGCCCTCAAGGACAGCGCGCAGCTACAGCAAACCGCCACGCAACAACTGGAGCAGCGGATCTGTGCTGTCGCCGCCAACCCGAGTTCGGCACCGCGCGAGACGACTCCAAAGTTTGATGGTCAGGAGATCTTCTGCGACTCGACGAAGACGGACCCGATTCCGTGGTTCCGCAAGTTTGAACTCAAGTAGCAGCTACATCATGTCAGAGAGGACAAGAAACACGCATACTTGTACTCCCGGTCAAGGGGCGCGTGCCAAGCATGGTTGGGCAATCTGTTGTCCAAGTACGGGGTAGTAGTCGACTTATACACCAAGATCAGCTGGGATGATCTAAAGGCGGCGTGGCATAAGCGGTTCCAAGTAGAGCCGTCGGAGATCAAAGCAATGGACAAATTGCTGACCTTTGAACAAGGTGCGCTGCCGAGTGTTGATTGGATTGCCGAGTACCAACGCTTGACATCCGTCCCGGACATTAGGATGGGCTTCAAAGCCGTCAAACACTACTTCATCACGAGGTCGTGTCCAGCATTGGGCAACGCCTTGACTCACGTTGAGGACACCCTAACGATAACGGCAGAGCTTTTTGACAAGGTTGCGCAGATCATTGTCACGAACAAGAAGGCCAAGAACCTCAACCGTTCGTCTGCGACAGGCCCGAGCAGAAATCAGCATCGGCCGAAAGTGGTCGTGGTCGCGGCTGCAATGCCAACCGACCCTTCTAGCGAGGTCGTGTCTGCCAATGAAGGGGACAGACTCGCAGCCGCCCAGGATGGTGGCCACCCCGGCCAGGGTCGAGGACGCTGCAAGACGAAGACAAACACCGCATCTATCCCCGGACCCGGTACAACAGCTTCATCGCCATGGTCCCCGTACGGTCTCTCCGAACATGCGTACAAGCTATGCATGAGATTCTGCTATTGTCTGTGGTGTAACAGTGATCTCCATGACACAGTGGGTTACCCGTCGAAAGGCAAGGGCAAGTCGAGAAACTGAGCACCACCGGGAGTGCATCGACGACACCCTCGACGCCCTCGGAACCGGTCGCTTCGCGGGTGACCGCCCTTCATTCCGAGGCACATACGGAAGTCGATAGTCCTCCTCTTCTATATTCTTATGAGGACTATGCTGCCCGACTCGTTCCTACGATGGGTACTCATGCTCAAGGACAAGACGTGTGTGCGACATGTTTTCCATCCAACAGCGGTGACTTATCGTCTTCAAGTGGTTCTTCATGGGATTCGGCGCGCGAGTTCAACATAGAGGTCTTGGACCCGCTCACGTCGGAGGATTTCGCATGACTTCCTCTCCCGACCACGGGCTGCTTGTCGGGACAGCAATGCGCAGCATTGTGCGCTCATCTCCACGCGTATCTATCCGTCTATGCACCACCAGCTTCGTCAATGGATGACGAAGTTGCGGTGGGGGKCATCCTTGCGTATGTTACCAAGGTGGCCTGCAAGTTTCGCAAGCAGCGGTACGATGACAACAACACACCGCTCCTCTATGTCTGCATCCAAGTTGGGCAAGCCTCCTGCAGCGCTTTGTTGGATAGCGGCACGACTCGTGATTTCATGAGCCAAACCTTTATGCAAAGCGCTCGCCTTGGCACACAAGTTCAGAGGAAGGCAAACCTGACAGCGATTAAGTTGGCGGATGGAAGGACGCAACAACTTATCGACCTTTACATCGAGGCCGTACCGGTGTATTTTGCAGTTCATGCATGCGAACTGGTGACGTTCGACATTTTGGACACGGACTTCGATATCATTTTAGGAATGCCTTGGCTTGCAAGTGCGGATCACAAGGTCAACTTCCACTGGCGGACTCTTACAGTTCGAGACGCCTTCGGCCCCGAAGTGTCGTGTACTATTCCTCTTCCGTACCCTTCTTGCGTTTACGAGCAGCCTGACAAGAGATAGGCCTATGCTTCCTATGGACCGTCGCAGTAGTCGAATCTTCCCCCACGGACTTGTCTTCGAACCCCCGTGTGGTGCGGTTGCTTGACGAGTTCACCGACATCTTCGAGTCACCTACCGGTGTGATGCCGGATCGGTTGATCTCTCACGAGATCATTCTTGAGACAGTGTTGTGTCGCCGAAAGGTTGCATTTACCACATGAGCAAGGAGGAGCTTACAGTCCTCCGCGCGCAACTCGATGACTTGTTGGACAAGGGTTGGATCCGCCCTAGTAGCTCCCCATATGGAGCGCCAGTTCTCTTCGTATGGAAGAAGAACAAGGGTCTACGATTGTGCATCAACTACCGCAAGCTCAACGCGCAAACCGTCAAGAATGTGGAGCCTCTTCCTCGTATTGACGATCTCCTTGAGTGATTGGGTGGCGTGAAGTACTTTTCTAAGTTGGATCTGAAATCGGGATACCATCAGATTTCGATCAGGTCGAACGATCGCTATAAATCCGCGTTCAAGACACGGTACAAACATTTTGAGTGGGTGGTCATGCCTTTTGGCCTCACCAATGTCCCGACGACCTTTGAAGCGGCAATGACCAACGAGTTTTGTGCGATGTTGGACCTGTTTATGTTGGTCTACTTAGACGACATTCTCGTCTATAGTCGGACATTGGAGGAGCATCTCGAGCACCTTCGATGAGTGTTGGAAACACTCCGCCGCGCCAAGTACAAAGTCAACTGCGACAAGCGCGAATTTGTCCGGCAAGAGTTGGAATACTTGGGTCATTTTGTCACACCGAAGGGCATCAGTCCGTTGTCGGACAAGATTCAAATCATCCAAGAGTGGCCGGAGCTGCAGAACGTCACGGATGTCTGTTCGTTCCTTGGCCTCGCGGGCTACTACCAACGTTTTATCAAGGGATGCTCGAAGATTGCAGCCCACTTGACCAAGCTTCAATGCGAGGATCGACCGTTCGACTGCTCTCAAAGCCGCATTATTGTCCGCGGAGGTCTTGCGAATCTACGACCCGCTATTGCCAACGCGCGTCACTACGGATGCATCCGGCTATGGCATCGGTGTCGTCCTATGAAACACCCGCGGACGCGTCCGCGGGGTCAAGCTCGGAGGGCGGACATGATCACGGCCGCCGCGGGACTAAATTCAGTAACGTTTTCGGATATGACCACAAGGCAAAAGTTGTTCAGTATATTTTTCTGCATAACATATTTGTTTTTCAGAATTTTTCTAGGCTACCAGCCGGGCCGCCCGGGTCACCTTGTGTTGCCCGTGCGAATGGTCCCAGCAAAAAAAAAAAAAAAAAACAATCTAAAAAAATCCGAAAAAAAACTATGTTATGCAGAAAAATAAACAGAACAACTTGTGCCTTAGGGTCAGATCGGAATTCTTTACCAATTTAAAAATAAAAATTAAAATTAAAAAGTAAAATTTTAATTTTATTTATTTTAATCCTTTTTGGCCCGGTCGGGCAAGTGGTCACGGGCCACTCTGGTAGCCTAGGAATTTTTTGAATTTTTTATTTTTTATTTTTTTCATGGCCGCGGAGCGCGGACACGTCCGCAGGGTCGCGGCCTAGGCCGCGGCCGCGGACTTGTCCGCGGATGGCCGCCGCCGAGGGGGATTCGTAGGTGTCGTCCTCGAACAACACAATGGCGTGGACTGGCACCCGGTCGAGTACTTCAGCAAGAAAGTGCCCGACATGCACTTCATTGATGATTCACGTAAAAAGGAGCTCCTAGCCTTCGTCCACACGCTCAAGCGGTAGTGGCACTTCCTCCTTGGTCGAAGTCAATTCCGATGGGTAACGGACAACAATCCGTTGGTCTTCTAGAAGACCCAAGACACCGTTAATAGCACGATCGCCCATTGGATGACTTCATCGACCAATTCGACTTCTTTCCCGATCACATTGCGGGGAAGTTTAACCATTTCGCGGATGCTCTTTCACGGCGTCCGTATCATTGTACCGCAGTCTATTCGACCTTCGAGATCGACGACGACCTGCGAGACAGCTTCATCCGCAGCTACCAAGCCGACCCCGAGTTTCGCGACAAGTAAAGAAGAACCTTATTTGCATACCGAGTGACTCTCACTTGCGTACACGGCCGCGATGCTCCCGCCACCGGACACTTTGGAGTCAATTGAACGATTGGCAGACTTCGCGAGCGCTTTTCGTGGTCCGGCCTTCTCGGCGACGTCACACGCTATTCCGAGTCATGCGAGGTTTGCCGACGCTGTAAATCCCGTAACCATGGTCCGTACGACGAGTTGCGACCATTACCAGTCCCCTTGCGCCGGAGGAAAGCGATTGCCTTGGACATTATCGGGCCGTTCCCCAAGCACAAGACCGGTGTGGATGGGATTCTCACGGTGGTCGACTGACTCACCAAGTTCGCCATGTTTTTACCTTGCCGCTATCATACCAAGGCACCGGAGTTGGTCGAGGTTCTTTACGTCGCTTGGATTCGAACCAAGGGTTACCCCAAGGAAATCGTTTGCGACTGCGACACTCGGTTCATGTCGGATTTTTGGTTGGCACTCATCAAACGATGAGGCTCATCTCTTAAGCCGAGTTCGGCTTGCCACCCCAAAACTGATGGTCAAACGGAGAGGGCGCATCAGACCGCACAGGTTCTCCTTCGCACTCTCGTCCGTCCCGACCAAAAGGATTGGGTTGAGCGGCTGTCAGATGTCGAGTTAGCATACAACTCGTCCATCCACCCGGCTATCGGGATGTCACCTTTCGAGTTCGAGCACGGCTCGCTGGTCACTTCTCCGTTGGACACAATCATTCCACAAGTGGCCGAGAGCGACGACCATCTTCTTTTCTTGCGTCGGATGCAAGAGCTATTTGTCAAGGCACACGACCAGATGGCTAAGACGCAGCAACGCATGAGCCAACAGGCCAATCGCCAGCGTCTTCCTTGTCCATTCCGCACCGGCGACCTCGTTCGGGTTTCCGCCGCAGAGTTCAGCCTCGAACAAGATATCTCTTGCAAGCTCCTCCCGAAATGGATGGGGCCCTGCCCGATCATGGCACTCGCTGGGGATGCACCCAAAGGACCTTCCTTCATCATTTAGGTGTCCGCCCACTTGCCCATCTACCCGATCTTTTATTGCTCGAAATTGGCTCTCTACACGCTAGCGGAACATGACGATTTTCTCGGGCGACGATCGCAAAACCCACCCTCTATGGACGGTTTTCAAGAGGTCAGCAACATCATTTCCCAGCGACGCTACGGCAACAGGCCGACCGAATACTTGGTACACTTTGCATACTGCTCCTACAAAGTTGACCATTGGTTGGCCCGTGCGGAACTCCAAGCAACAGCTCCAGATGTTCTCGCACGCTACGAACGCAAGATGCAAGGCAAGCCAGATCGTCAGCTTCGCCCTCAACCCAGCTTGACTTCGTAAGGAAGGGGGGGTGTTTTATGCTGCCCCTGCAACATGTTGCGCCTGCAAATGAGGGTCATTTTCAGGCTCTGGGTAGTTTCAGCCTGAAAGCCTGAAAACAAGGGCCTACAGGCCCTGTGTCGTTTCAGCCTGAAAGCCTGAAAACAAAGGCCTACAGGCCCTATGTCGTTTCAGCCTAAAATAGGGCCCTCCAGGCTCCGAGTCTTTTCAGTCGAAAATGGAGCGTCATTTTCAGGCCCTCATAAGATCGAGCTGCCCTAAAACTCAGGCACCAGACCAGGGATTTAGCACAGGCCATTTAGGGTCTGTTTTCAAGATCACCTTTGTTTGAACTTCAACGCCAGGGTCTGGCACGTTTTGGCATTGGCACGAGCAACCTCCTAGACGGGCCAACACGGTATAAGACTGACCCGCCCTGCAGGCTGCAGGTAGTTCATAGGGACTTCCCAGGCACTTCACGTGCAGTTCAGGAGGCAAGAGGTAGTCTTTAGGATTCGGCAGCAACACTCTGGAGGAGCGCTGCAGTAGTAGTGGTAGCGCTGCCAATAGTCTTCAGCGATGGCCGCCATTAGGAGCTAGAGTAGCATTGGAGAGAGAGAGAGAGATTGGGCGGAGGTCAGTGAGACTTACCTGCAGCGCCATAGCTCCATCTCGTCGTCGAGGTACTTGCAGCACAGCGCCATCTTCACAAGTTAGTACCTGGCAC